TCAGCCAGGGTCAACCCACCACACTCATGAAAGGAGGTAGCATCTGACATTATTTTGCTGTCAGATAACGCGTGATGTGTGTTTGGTATCAGCTGAGAGTGTGTTGTGACTATCATAGGAATAATGTGCCCATCCAGTTACTTTATGTATGCGACAGCACTCCCCAATGCATCATCAGTGGCTTCAGGCCAATCTCACAAATATTTACCACACATATGGGTAGGCTAAGGTTACATTTGGCTACAAATTCTCTCCTGAAAAAGCTATTTGTTATGAGACATCTAATATCTTCATGATTGCATACAGAAAAATCCTTATGCAGTCAGATACATGTGTCTGCCACTACAGGGTTTAATGAATTAACAATCAAACACCTAACCTAAGGAGAACACTCTGTTTTGGTGTCCTCAACAGGCTGTTATATGAAGTCAACAAGTGCACCACTCCAACATGCATGAGCCATAAACCACCATCCTCCTCTTCACAGACAACTGCAGACAGGCACCAAGCGCAGGGAACACAGGTAGTTTTGGGCTAACAGCTCAAATTTTAACCCAAAAGGGAGACTGGGGGAACAGGGGAGAACGAAGCTGACCGTTCACACAGCAATACTTGTATTTCCAGTGCTATTAACCAGCAGAGGCTGGGTCTTTAGTTCTAATTATAGACCTGTCCCCATATTTAAAACACAGGGCTGAAAATAATGCTGCTCAAATGGACAGAAATGAACAAAAGCTGTAGAATCCCAGAGGCAGATATGGTGAACTACAGCCTGCCTGTGATAAGCCTGGCTGAATGGTTGCAGCAGATGTTCCTGCCGCAGCTAGCTACCAAAGCTATCTGCTGCTCAGGTGCAAAGGGGATGGATGGCACTGTGCTGCTCGTGGGAGCAATGCAGATAAACATTCCCCTCTCCTCCAGCACCACAGCTGTATCTCTGCAAAGGGTTATACCTAGAAACAGTGCAGTAATAATCTGACAGCTTGGTAAAAATCAACCAGAAGGAGGGAAGAAAGGAATGAGGAAAGGGAGGAGGGGGAAGGAAAAAAAAAGAATGCACGACAGTTGTTGCAGCAGATCATTTAGTACACGTTAGGGAAACGTCAGAGTGAAAGTTACAGCAGAATAAAGTCCTTGAGTCTGGTGCCAACTGGACTGTTACAAAACAAGGTTGTTCCTCATTGCCACCAAAATCTATTCACATTGTGTCTGAGGCTGATGAGAAAGTCTCAAACAACTTCACAAGACCCCACATTTTACTCATTCTAAATAACTTCTTGTATTTCCATATATCCTCAGCACCAGGAAAAGCCAACAAAATAAAATGCTCTTAATAGTAACAATGTAAATACACAGGAGGTCAACAGGGTTAGTCTAGAGGGCAACAGATACCTCCTCCGAGAACTGCTCCTCTGTAGCCTGGCCTTCGTTTCCCTCATTCAGCACAGATTCATCAGATTCTGCAGGAACCTGCAGCAGAGAGAAGATGCCATAAAAAAAAACCCAAACAGCAAAAGAGGAAGAGATACTTCACACTGCAGAATATAGCCACCTTCCCACCAACAAAAGCCAGAACCAGACTGCAAATGACAGAAATGCATTGGCAACATATGCTTGAGTATAACAAATACAGTAGAGGCCCTCCATTTCCTTGCTCTTTTTTATTACATAGTACCTTGTGCTATTTTCATCTTAACTATCTGAAAACATGCAGCAAAACTTTTCTTCCCTGTTAGGCAACTACAGATGACATCTGAAATGTCTACAGCACAAAAGCAATGCAGTCCCCCTGTTGTAGACTCATGCCATTGCAATTACTACAGGCAATGCCTGAACCGATTTATCACTTTTGCAGGGAAGTGTTACAGGATCATGCTCTCAGTCCTTCTTTTTTTAAAGCCTGGGGAAGGTGCTGCTCTTGAAAACAGCTACCAGGCAGCAAGGGCCTGCCCTACCTCACAGGCAGCACCAAGTGTCACAGTGGGCAAGACACGAGCAGCAAAAAGGAAAGGTGGAGGGACATCACTGAGACCCTGAACTAAAACCTGTGACTGAGAGTCCTTAATTGGGAAAGCAGGGGGAAAACAGTGGTTGTGGGTTTTTTTTTTTTTAAAAAAGTACCTTCATGTACGAACTTGTCATATGCTGGGTTATTTGTGACTGACTTTAGGACAGCTACCAAGCAGAAAGAAGAATTATTCTTACTTTGCACATTACCATGTCATTATAAAACTAAACACAAGGTTGTACACATGTGTTCACTTACCTCTCCTAAGTCACCATCTGCGAGACCCTCTTTATTCAGAGCAGATGTAATCTAAAAAACAACCAAGATTTAAGTAAGTGCCCTTTTATTTTAAAGAGGCAGACCTCTCAGATTGCAAAACTGGCACATGCGGCTAATATGTTACTTGCAGAACACTTAAATGAAACTAAAGCCATTTCCTTTCCCAGCCTGGCGATGGATTTATTGCTAAGCCCCCTGCACCCCAAGCTCTGATGCAAACAACAGCTGCTCTATGCCTTTAAACCTTTAACTGTTAACTCAAGGGCCTCAAACCTCACTAGATCTGCTGGAAACCACAGTAATAAAAATAGTATCAGAGCATGAAGGACAAAACCCTCTGTCTGCACTGGTTAGGGAAAATGAAGCAGTGACAATCCTTGTGGAGCAGGAAGCCTGTACAGAAGCTGTGGTTTCAAGCACAGCAGGCATATGGCTGTGGACTAGGATTTTCTAAGCTACAGAAGAGTTAAAATGCCCAGCTTCTACTGCTTTGCAAAGCAAATCATTACTCCAGATTCAATTAGGGCCCTCAAAAACACAAATTTAATGTGTAGATTTTAGAATACATGCAGAAAAAAAATACTAGTTCAGCATCTGGGAGCCTGGGTTTCCTAATACTGCTAATGTTATCTACTGCTTTTAGTGTTGCAGGCCTTATTTTACCTTTGTAGGCTGGTTTTCACAAAAAGCTGAGCTCATATTGCTGAGTTATTTTTCTCTTTCTTTTTTAATCATTAGTTTACAATAGAAAGGAGAAATCCAGGACTTGACTTGCATATGAGAATCACAGGTTTTAAGACAAAAACCAAAATACCATGTTCTTAACAGCTTATTCCAAGAAGCTGAAACCTGTGACTTTTTTTTTTTTACTTTCCTTACCCCACCAGTAACATGAAAAACAAGTTGTGATTTAGTGCGTTTATCATCTGGGTATCACGAATTTTCAAACAAGCTGTCCTGTATTGTTTCTTGACACTACAGAACATGGATTCAACTTCAATGTGGAATGCTTTGTTGAGAAACAGCTACATGAAAACATGGCCTTGCAGCTCCCCTCACCTATTCCTCAAATACTGAAATAATGGAGTAGGCCCAGCATTTCAGGCCACTGAATTCAGCTACACCCGTTTTCCCAGCTTCTCCCCATGCACAGGCAGATCAAACCCAGAGCAACAGCGACAATGGGCTCCAGTCTGCATGAGGCTGCTCCACAGGACCACTACTAAGTATCAACTGGATCTTCTAATTGAAACAGGATTTTCAATTTCAAAAACAGGATTTCGCTTGCTGTGCTTGCCTTTGACTCATACAACAAACATTTAGAAGCTGAGGACAGACTGTTAGCAAAGCCATGTTTTTTTCTGTAATCATAAGTTTGCCCTGGAGGCCTTTTAATTCATAACCATAATGACATTTTTATGGAGCTACCCTATGAAAATAAAACCATTAGTTTAATAAAATGAAAATGAGCCAAACATTCAAATCCACTGAATCAGAACTGAAGAAATACTAAACAGTTCCTGGGTACAGCACTGAAAGCAACAAAGAGCCAAAATGCACAGCAGGTATCCCCCTATAATATTGAGATAAGAATTTTCCAACTTTAAAGAAAGCTATATACTTAAGATATGCAAGTTGCTTCCTGGTAATCCAAATTTTGCCTTTCCAAATATAAGTAGGTTTGATTTTTTCTTTTTTTTTTGTAAAAAATGAATGGCATCCTGCACAAAGAGAGGACTATTCTAGGCTTCCCAAGATAGTTAATAAAACCCTGAAGACTGCTTATACGTTCTTCAACCAGAAAGCCTAAAACCAGATCAGATTCCATGATGATACAATAGAAGGATGTCACGTGTTACATGAATAGCTTGAACCAACAAATATCAAAGCTTCTTGATGGGTGAGAATTTCAGATCAACACTGGACAGTCAGATGCAGACATACCTCTGAAGTCCGCTGCCTGCTTCAAAGTTTTCATTGAACATCCATATTGCAAGAAGATGACATAGCTAATAATAAAACCCAAAGCGAACTGCTTGCTGTAAGAATTCTGAAGTTACTCAGGAGTTATTTATCTAGACAAAATTTAAAGAGCAGAAGAAGATTTCTAGTGTCCTTCAGAACAAAGGAACTCCTTAAATAAACACAACTATTTGAGTCAGCCATGTTTAAGCAGGCTGCAGCACGATGGGCGACAGCTGTGTTATGGCTATTAGGAGACCTGCAGCACTGACAAATACTATCTGCTGGGAAACACACTGAAAATAACATATAAAAATGTTTATTGTATTGAATAGCCTATGGATACTGATAATTGCTCTTCCAGTCCTACTGGTAAAAGAGTACTTTAATCATACATGGCATCATCAACATTTTAGGCTGTACTCTGCAGATACATCCATCAGTAAAGCATTTAACACAAGCACAGTTTGCAGGCACATTTACCTTCTTCCTCAGATCATCTTTCCTGTATCCCAAGAGCTCAAGGTATTTAACACGTGAATCTTCTTCAAAGTTTACCTTTAAAAAACAAAAATTAAAGAATATATTGCAATTCACAATTTTTCATTTTCTCCCTCACTGGCTTTTTACTTGACTGGCACAAATTACCCAGTGAGAGCTAGTGACTAGTGGAGATCGAGTGTAACAAAGAGAACTGAAAAGGTCTTGCAGGTAGGCAAGACTTCAGTCTGGTTGTTGTAGGTGAACAATCTGCTTAGCTACTTTACTTAGAAACCTCAAAATGCTCATAGTGAGCAGTGAAGAGCAAATCTAAAGCTGTCCCAAAGCTTTATCCCTTCTCACCAGCTCCCTGTACAAAGATGTACTGATGGGGGACGTGAAAAAACACAGGATACCTTTCCCTAAGCCTTGGCTTCTGCCATGATTTCTCACGACCCCACAAAGAACCCTTGCCCTAAGGACCCCCTCTCTTCTGGTGGGCCACCTCCAATCACAGGGCTTATGGGTGCTATTCCCACAGCCTACACTTTTAGTTTCCAGCATTTCTTCTGCTAAAACACCATAATGTGCAGAAGAATCCATTTCTGCACTGGCTTTCCAAGTCAATGGGGAACTGCTGAACTGCTGTTATTCTGTTACCTTTAAGAAGGCCCACACGTTTTTCTCAAAGTCAGCCTGGGCCATGTCGATTTTCTTCTGGCAGTAGCTGACAAAGCCTTCGGACTGCACAGCCTCCTGCAGCTGGGTTGAGCGGTCCAGGAACTCCTTCTCTGTAACAACCTGGCTCACGTAGACATGGTGACGCTGCTGCTGCTCAACACCTGGCTGCTGCTGAGACTTGGCATTCTCAAATGTAACCAGCTTGCCTCCAAACTGGCAGTATGTAAAAATACAATTATACACTGAAGCGTATATGAAAAAGTATGTACATATGTATACACGATTTTATCTAGCGTATATATGCTTATTGTCCAATTGACAAACATTCCTGACCAACTCATTGGTTTGTGGTGGTTTTTTCTTACTGCTATGCCATATTTCTATGCATGTAAGGAGCTTGCTGGCTAAGTGGGTGCACATTTAATAAGATTTTTGAGCACAGCTACTCCTTTGCCTTTTTTTCTCAGGCAAAAAACTGACTAGAAACTGAGAACTGGAATGTGAGTCTGTACAGTGCCCAAGATAAATGGAGTATCTCACAATATTGGAATGTAATTACCAAAGAAACCTATGCATCATTAAATAAATGCTCAAGTATGATGTCTGCCCTGCTCTTGGCAGGCTGTTCATCAGTCAAAAGCCTACTGAAAGATGGGCAGTAAATTATGTCATCATTTGAAGAGAAGTAAAATCTACAGAAGAAAAAAAATTAGTAGGGGCTTATAATACTATTTCATTATATAGATCTAAGTTAATTTACACAGGCCAGTCCCATAAATTACAAAGTCAGCATTACAAAAAGCAAAACCTAGCCAAGTAAAAGACTGACAGCTGGCTCCTGGAAAACCAGGATGAATAACAGAATAAACACCATCAGTCAGTGGCTAAGCAACATTATTTCTCTTTGATGGGAGAAAACTGCATGTAATTTGGGCATCAGATTGTGAATAACCAGACATACGACGCTGAAAATTGAGCAGTATTTCAAAGAAATCCATTTCAAGTGGACAGGCTAAAATCTTCAGACGATCCCTAAGAAATGGCCTGTGGGTCTAGAAAATAAGCCAAAGGTGGAGCCAAAGAGCAGACAACTCTGCTCTCACAAAAAGCAAGGCCTTGCCACCCTCCCACCTGGCTCCTTTGCAAATCAACCAGCCATGGAGGAGCCTTGCTACAGCGATTCCTGCTACGAATGCCCAGAGCTAACCTGAGCATTCTCCACTGCACTGACTTACATAACAGCTTTGACCTGCACTCAAGTATCAGATATTTGCCCAGTTTGGTCCCATTACCCCCTACCTGCGTATGTTTTTTTATTCCAAAGCAAGCACTACAAAAAAACCAAAGCCCTAATCTTAAAGCAGAAACAAACAAGTGCCTGTTGTCAGCACACCACCACCTCATTTCTTTTTCCCAAGCATTTTTGTCATGCTTTTGCTGGCTCACTGTCCCAAGCGCCCAGTCTGGAAGCTGCTGCAATCATCTCCCACCACGATGACAAACAGTTCTCCCAAGGTGAAGCACAACGTTGAACTCCCCTCTTCCTAAAGCGTTTTGCAGGTGGCACCATTATTTCCCTCCCCACCTGGCCAACCATGCCCAGCCTTGTCTCATGCTTACAGAGAATGATGCTCCCACAGGTCGCCGGATCCATTTAGGTGGTTTCTTTAGGGGCAAAATGACACTCTGAGGGGCAGTCTGCTGGGGAAGCTGCAGGGGCGGGAGGGGCTGTCCTGTACCAAATGGATCAAGGTTCCCAAAAGACGATGAAAGCTTCAATAACAAAAGTGGGAAAAAGCAAAAGTGACATAACTCCAATAAACTAAACATAAGCATTTATTTGCACCAGATTGGTACTCTTGCAAGCAAGGCTGCAGACAGCCACTGGACACTTCCCATAAGCTCATGTTTCCCACCCCCTGTCCCCCTTTCTGTCCATATTCTTAGCTGAACACTTCTCAATACCTGGTCAACTTGCTTTTGCCTCAAGCCATCTGTGCTGCCTTCCATGATGGAGTAAATGCTGATTCGTCCATCAAATGAAGCTGCAGACAAGACAGCAGGATTCCTGGGACACCACTGGATATCAAAGCACCACTGTGTGTTCGTAGGCAACTCATACAGCACCTGGGCAGCAAAAACAAGTCCAGCAAATCAGGGCTTCTATGAAGCACCCCATCCAACTGGATATCAAAGCACCACATCCAACAGCACTCCTGCCTGCCCTGAGATTCTTGCTTCCCAGCAGCCTCCGCATCACTGTGCGCAATAACAGTGGGCAAACCCTGACAATTGCTGAAGAGGAGATTATCACACACCACTGCTTCATTTCCTTCTCCACCCATTAAATCTTCTGTTTAATCCACACAGGATAATAGACGCAGGCAGGGTTTGTCTGTGCTGTCCCGCTGCAAGCTGTGAGCTGCTGCTGATAGTCATGCTAGCTCATTCAGAGCTTATCTGAGTATCTCTACACACTACATGGAGACATGTCCAGGCTCCAAAGTAAGTCTTCTTTGACAGGAAAAGTGGAAAAGTTAAAACCTGCACACTGGGCAGATTCACTCTCCTGCCCTGGAACAGGCAAGCCCACTACTGCAGCAGACATTAAACCATAAACTAGGAGAAACTCAAACAGCAAAATGCTAACTGCCTTGCTGTCTCCCAGGAGACTATTTTTTATTTTTAATAAAAACATGTAGTAAGATTCATCCACATGCAAAACCTTCCTAACAGCACAGGATCCAGATCAGGTAACTCATTTACCATCCCACAGCTTTTGCACTTTTGGTCCAATATCTGAATTTTAGAAACACTTCTCACTCTGCCCTCCAGGATTATCGCCCTCTGGAGGCAAGGAGCCCTCCAGCATGCCTGAAGCCCTTCTCGTGGTCTAGGGGCAAACACTCAAGTTGTCTGAAAAAAAAAAAGGATCTGCATCCCCTTTAAAACATATCTCCAGGCCCAAAAGGTGGACCAGGAACATGTTCAAGTGGCTCTCACTGATCTGCCTCTACTGTAGTAACCTACAAAATCCTTCTGGTCTGGATAAAAGTTCTCACAATTACAGAAGGAAAAAGGCAATTGCAACAGTAATCCAGCCACATCAGGCCCAAACCAAGAGAGCAGGAAGAAAATACTTAGTTTAAGTGGGGCCATTTCTATCCCTTATGAGCAGGGACCTTACTACTTAGCAGGAAAGAAGCAGTAAGGACAAACACATAATATTGGCAATACTAGGAAGAAACCCTGCACCACCAGAAGCAGCTCAGAAGGCACACATACCAAACACAAGTACACAGGATAGGGAGAAACATCCCACAGAAGCATTGTTCCCAGGAGTGCAAGCACACCAACACCTGCTTTGCATGTGCCACTGAACAGATTTTTTTTTTTTAAGCACAATACCTCGCCTGTGTTAGGGTTGGAGCAGAGAATTTTAGCATCCTTCCCACAGCTAAGCAGCAGCTCTGAATCCGCCATACTCCAAGCAATGGCCAATATACCCCTGCATGAAAAGTCACAAGCAAAAAAAGTTTAATGTAAATGCAAAATGGTGATAAAAAAGCATATTGGTAAGTTGACTTTCTACACTAGCTGAGAATTCCTCCTCAAAATGCCCTGCCCACTCCTTATTACAAGGGGAGAAAATTTTAATGTAATCAGCACTTTATTTATTGAAATAGATGCTTTCCATTTTTTGCATGAAAAGGTATAAAGGTGCAGCCATTGTATCTGAAAATTAAATGCAACGGTCATGTGAGAGAACCTGGACACCAATGTAACAAAATGGTTTGCCTGCAGTATCATTAACATACAGTGTGCAAACCTGTAGGTAAGGTCGGTGACTGTGAAGTTTGTCAGCTTCTTTTTATTAGCAGGAGATTCAAGTCAGCAGAACCACTGGTAGCAGTTTTGGTACTTATTGCTGTTCTCTCTTCTTAAATCAAGCACTGGTTTTGGGCAATAAGGAAAGTTTCACCAACAATTGAGGAGGGACGAAAATGTAACAAAATCTTTCCTTGTACCCAAATTTAAGGCTTTTAGGGGACTGAGGGGCAGAGAGACTATGCATGTCCACATGTGAGGATGTGCCCAGGTGTACCTTCAGTCCATTATTCAGGCAAAATAAACTACTATTAACTCTTTGCACTTCAGCGCCCTCTTCTTGAAAGGCATAGAAACAAACTAACAGCTTCAATGTTTCAGCAGGATGTTTGGGGGTTTTGTTTGGTTTTTGTTTAGGTTTTGGGGGGGTGGGTGGCGGTGGTTTGTTTGTTTTTTAGTTTTATTTTGGGGCCTGTTCCTTTCAAACCAGCATGGCCCAAAAAAGGCATAGGGTTGCTTGTCAGCAAGCCACCGTATAACGCTGTCTGCTGCTGGAATTGCCACCTCCAACTAAATGAGCCTTCACAGAGAACTGAGCAAGAAGCAAGACGTACAAACGGGTACAGTCACCAACAGTGCAACACCATAAAGGAGCAGGCCACATAAGACTCATACCTTGTATGGCTTTCCAGAACACGAAGTGGCGAGGAGGCAAATCTTAGGTCCCACATCTGAATCACAGGCAACCTGTCATCCTCCGAGGCCAAAACCATCTGGGTAGCAACATCAGGGTGCCATGCCAGGCCTGAGCAGTGCATCTGAGGGATAACATTGCGCCACAGTATAAAACAATTAAGCAGTACTAAAGGACAGAAGACAACTAGCCTAAATATGTCTACATGCATGGTAAAACACTGTTGTGAGGGATTTTACAGCTGTGTTTGTGGGCATTATTTCTGACTGCATTCAGACTGGGATACTCTCCTCGTTTCCATGGGTGAGGAGACTTACAGGTAGTTTCCCAGGGTCCTCTCAAAGAGATGACTTTGTGCTGCCTTGTTCACAATCCTATGTTTTAACATAAGAACAGTATAAAGCCCTCTGTAGAAACCTTTTTCTCTAATATTTTTATTGATATTTTCATAAAAGCCATCATTAGGTAGATGTTATTGTCATGTGAACATGTATCACCAGACTACAATCACATGAAGTCAGCTTACTATGCTGCTGTCATGTTAAGCAAATACATGAAACAGAGTTACACGGTTTATCAGAACAAGAGTGCAGTGACCAAGCAGCTATTTCAGGAGCACCCATTTGTAAGTTTCGTTTTGAACTCTTGCTACATCTTCAGAGTTTGTTATAGCAATATTCAATTTAAAATATATATACTATACAAATATGTCACTCTTCACAAGTTCAACAGGCTCTTATTTACATTTACACTGCCTGAGGAACAGGCATGGTGGTTGTAACTACAAGGCAGTGTCCCCTGTAACCTGCTCAATGGCAACACTCTTCTGTGGCACCCTCCACTACAGACCCTGCCCTCTCCAAGCTCAGCTGCAGCCTGCTCCCATTTCCATGTCCAGATCAGCAGAAGCACAGGCCTCAGCTCCATCAGCCATCAATGTCCTGTCAGGGCTCAGCCCACCTGTGATGCCAAGGAGGAAGCCCTCTCTGTCTGAACACTAAGTAATGACATCACCTGCTCTGCAAAACTAGATGTGCTCACCAAGAGCACATCAGCTGCAACCTCATCTCTCCAGCACACAAAACATGTCATTTCTGACTAGCTGAATAAAATCTTTCTGTGGTTGTCCCAAACAGATCAGTAATGGCTTTGTGCAAACTAACTTATTACTCTAATAGGAAATCTGAGTGCCTTGCTTCAATCTGCATCTGCCTATTTTAATTTAAAATGTTGATAATACCTCTGCATATACATAGCCTTTTAAGAAAAAGCATTAGATATTCAGCATGTCGTATAAAACTGGGCCAGACACCAGTATCTTTATGTCATGTAAGAAGAGGTGCTACGGCCTGTCCCCACATGCCAAGAGGCACTCCACACCCCTCCACAAGCACCTGTGCAGCCACACAAGAGCTAACTCACCCGGTTATTGTGGTCACTGACTTTGATGATAGGTTCGTTCTTCCTGAGATCCCACACGGTAGCTCGGCCACTAGGGCTGGCAGACGCCAGGATATGCTGGACTTGCCTGTTCCATGCGATGCAGCTGATATCCTCAAGAGGCTGTCACACACAGAGAACAGCCTGTCACAACCTTTCCAAATAGAAGACTCAAAACCTGCTATTTTCAGGACTTGCTAAGTGACAAATCTGCAAGGAGACTCATCCCAGGTACTGCATGTGTTTTGGTTTCCTATATACACGCACTGTAGGGTTGAACGCCTGAAAACCTCAATTTATAAGCTGACAGTAATTCTCTAATATCTGCATTTTCTGCTTTACAGTATGAAACATTAGTCACTTGAAGACTAAGCACAACTGTCTTCAATAACAGAAAATTACTCCATGAAAGTATATCTGGGTATATGAACTGCCCTTTTGCCTTGGATTATTAGGTTTTGACTTTTTAAAAAAAAATAAATAAGGTTGCCTGGAAGAATTCTGTGGGTTTTGTTTTGTTGTTTTTTTTTACTCACCCCCCACTTATTTTTAGTCTGAGAATTAAAAGCAATGTTAATCCAGTCCATGTTGCACCATTATTTCCAGCTGTCATTAAGCATATGAACTAAAATATTTCCCAGCCTAAAAAAATTACTATTAGACATAAAATCCTATACAGCTAAACAAAGCATTCAAACCCACAGTTTAAACTAAAAATCTTTAAACTGAAGATCACTTTTCATCCTATTTCCTCACTTTGTTGTCTCCAAATTATCATACAGTAACAAACATATTTTCCAGTAACCACAAACTTCTTGTGCAATTTTGTAACAGCTACAGAAACTTAAAGAATGGGAGGAAGTTGTTTCAATACCTTTATCTCCTTCACAAGGCACAAAGTACAAAAGGCTATTGCTTTTCCCCATAGATCTTCTTTAATAGACACAGGCTAAACACTGGCCCTTATGTATAGCAATTAAACACTCCTGAAGCCCATGAAGGTAACTGCCAAACCTACTGCCTCATCTTCTGACTTCTCAGTAGCTTCTTTTTATCTTCCTCCTATTTTCCTCAATCTGTCCCTTTACAACCTTCACATTCATGCATGCAGTAAAACATACAGAGGAAGGACTAGAAGACATGTAATGGTTATGGATATTTAAAAAATGGTGTAACCCGAGAGACTTGGCTTGTTATTACTTGTTGTTTGATAAAATGCCACATTTCTCAAAGACTAAGGGGATACTTCAGCTTTCCCTGGCCCAATACAATTTTTTTAAATAAAATCCCACCACATGAAGACATGAATCAACTGCTTGTACAGCCAGTCAAAACTGCAGGTCTGTTGTGGATAAACATGACTGTGCATCCAGGGTTGCTGCATGGGAAGCAGAACAAACCACTCATTGGATGGACCTCTGCATGCTAGCACTTAAAAGCACAGTCAGGAAACTGCACTCTTGGGGCTAGAAAAACAGCAGCATCCAGCCATCCTTGTATGGATCTGGGCAAAATGTCACAGCCAGACCCAAAGTGTGGCAAAATAGCACTGTCATGACTGACTTCCTTCCAAAAGCGTTCACTGAAAGCTACCTACGCTGCCGCTCAGAGAGTACTGTCCTTAAGGACATGGGCTCCTGCCATAAGCTTTGAGTCACAGGCGTGTCACAAGGAAAAAATATCTCAAACTCCACAGTCTAATAAGCACATTATAAAAATTAAGTACCAATAGAAGGTCTATTTTTGTTGGCTTTCAGGTAAGCCACTGGAGAACAATATGCAGGAACATATTTTTCTTTATTTTGATACACAGAGATCTGTTGTACCATCACTTAAGGACTGTACCTAACATTGCCAGAAATGTAGCTCGTGGCTAATTAGAATTAACCGCTACCCAAGTCAGACTTCAAAAGGCTTCCCTCCCCTCAGAGAGCTTTAAAATTGTAGGTTTCAATGTAAGTGACATGCATATTTTTTCATTAGTCTGCTCTGCAGTTTTTTGACAAATACAAATCTGGTACCTGTGTCTTCACTCCTGGTGTCATTGGTGTGGCAAAATTGTTCAAGTCCCAGATATAGATTTCAGACTCATTAGCACCAGAAGCCACTAGATTAGTCTGTAAGACACATTAATAGATGTTAAGAGCATTTTCAGCATCAGCTTTCACAGTCTTAGCTGCTGGGAGGCATCAGATCCACAGACTGTGCCAATTTCTCCTATCAGCTCAGGATATAGCCTTTGGCTCACACAGAGCAGCTTAGGGAAAAAAGCAAGTTTTTTTTGAGATTAGAGGCAAGACTGAGTTAATTAAAAAAATCCATACACTACACTAGACTGGGATGCCAAGATTAAAATTCCCATTTTGCGGAGTGCTCCTCCACTGCACGGCAAACACCCATGAGGAGACTGCAGAGGCACAGCCATGGAAAGGCGAGTGGAACGCAGTGTCACTTCTGGGAGAGGGCAGACAAGAAAGCAGTACTGCAGCTATCTCTGCCACAGAGGTTTTCTCCGGGCAGACCAGGACACACAGTGCTGACTGGAAGGAGCGTGGCATTTGTGCCTCCAGCAGTGGACAGCACCCTGCCCACAGCGAGCACAATTATCTAGAGCAATCCTGCATCTGGGATGCAGAAGTCCAGGCAGGGTGATGTGAGACAAGGACACCGAGTGCCCATTGATCACATCCCATGGCTGGTGACAAGCAAGTATCAACTTCATAACAGGCAGAAAGGGAAAGGAAGCGATCCAGAGAGGACACAATGAACACAGGACAGCCTTGCTGAGAGCAAGTGCTATTTAGGACAGAAATTCAGCTAAATTCTCACACAGCTGGTGGGGACAAGGAAAAACCAACCCACTGTATCTAGAAGGAAGTAAATGCTCATTAGTGATGGAAGAAAGCTTGTTGGTTTTGAGAGCTCTTCTGCTAAAGAGGCCACGTCACCATGTTTCCTGTTCTGTCTCCTCTTTCCAAGCAACAATACTTGGAGGTCTTGAAGACAGATCCTACCCAATCATCAAAGGAGATTCCTGTGACATCAGATTTTAGGTAAAATGAGCGTGATGAGAACAACATTGGCACAGTACTCGGGAGCTAAAAAAGGAGACTGGCTAAAAACACAACAGAAGACCACCTCTATTTTACACGTAAGCTGAGCTAAAAAGACCCACTAAGCTGACAAACTGACAAGGGGAAAGAATGAACCTTAAACTCTTTCATTCCCCATCCTGAAATGCCAGGAACAGGACAGGTTTTTCCTACTAAATACAGACAGTCAAACATCATTTAGTTCGTGCTTTTCAGGGAAGGGAAAAGGGACAGAAGCATTTGAGGTTACAAATTAAGACAGGTGGAAGAACAACAGCAGAAAACCAACCTGGAACATGTTGACATCGAGCGCTCTTACTGGTCCCGTGTGCTTGTCTTTCTGGGCAATTATGACTTCAGCATCTCCAGCTATGATTTTGGCTGGGTCGTAAAGAATGACATTTCCGTTTTCACCCCCAGCAATCAGGACTCCAGAGACTTGCTCACCTGAGGTCATGCTATGTGGCCCCCAGATCAGCTTGTGGTACCTGTAAAACACAGAGGTTCCCACAGTCTACAATCATCCATATACACTGATGCAACCCATTTTGCTTATCCCACCTAAAGCCTCCAGACTGCTGCTAACAGACAGAGCAGACACATCAGAGAAAAAACACTGCCTGCATTTCTCCTTAATGATGAGTCTGTCCTTACAACCCCTTCCATCAGAAGGACATGTCCCAATTCTGCTTGTTATCACAACATGCACAACCAATAACATCTCCCACCCCCAGGCTGCAAAATCAGGTAAGTGCTCCCAACTGCACATGATTTTGAGCTCACCTTTGCAAAACTACAGGAGTAATCAAAGTAAGGACTTGTAAGCCCATCCAACCACAGCCTGGAGTTAAGCCTCTGCTACTTGTGAGCAACTCTTCATACAAGAGAAAAAAGGTAAACTAGAAAAATTCCAAATACTTTTCCATATCTGTGCTTCTGGATGTGTGTTTCATCTGCTGTAGTGGAGGCTCAGCAAGCAGTTTATTCACATCGTAAACAAATGTCACTTGACCACAATCTATTTTCCAGGCTAAATCAAGAGGAATTAAACATACTTCCAAAAATGAATTATTTTCACACCACTGTGGCCATCTGCAAATACCCAAGTTTCCTTCAACTCAATGAACTTGTTGCATAAGCAAAACAGCATTCCTGCGTATTCAGCCATGCAAAGAATTAATTTCTTCTACATAAAGTGTCACATATCAGCTCTTATGCAAGCAGAAAGCAAACCCACATTGACTGGAAGGTGGCAAGGAGTTGCCACCAGGTAGCATTCACCATGCTATTATTAATCTCTTCATTATCTCTGGACAACTTTCAAGTAATTTCTTTAAATCACAGCAACTTCAGCATGATAAAATACATACTGCAGAAAGCTAGACAAAGAGCATATGCCGGGTGAGAAATACTGTAACAGCCAAGTGCTCAGATTACAGTTGGGGCTCACAAAAGAACGATGCTACAAAGGGAAATTGGTCTGTGATACCAGACAGACCCTTTCCCTGGGTATGTTTTTTATACTTCTGCACATAACTATGTGAGGTTACGAGAAGTGAAGTGACTAACAGGGTTGTCCGGGCATTGGTATTAACCAGCAAGATTCAACAGGACTTAAGAGAATCCAAAATGAAAGCAGAAAACAGTGAGGAACAAAAACCAAAGTTAACTGTGCAATTACTTTCCTCTTGCCCTTTGCTCTTTCCAAGATAACCTACGGCTCTATAAAAGCAGTGCAAAACTTTCCTTGGAGGAAAATTAACAAAGCTTGTTGCAGGATTTATCTTTTGTGAGTTTAATCACCTGGACATTTTCATTTGCTGCAAACCAAAATAAAGCCTGATGTATACATTACTAGCTGGGGCACTTCTTGTTATCTTTAATTAAAAAAAGATAATCAACCTCCTTTGTAATGCATTTTCTGGGGCAAAGTCAAATTCTTGTGCTGCTTACCAAGGGAAGTACTTTCAAAGGAGCACTGCATCCTGACTATAAGAAGTGTTTTTTGAAATTCAGTAAGCAAATGTCACTTGGCAAGCTTTGAAAAATCTCAGTCATAATCAAAACAAGGTAGAACAAGGAAATTTTAAAAGATCAAACACCTCTTCCTGTCCTCAGCAGGTCACAGTAGGCCATGTTAACATTGGCTTTGCCCATAGTGCAGGGCATAAAACAGAGACTGTGGATGTTTCTCACAAGCTCCACGTACTGAAATGTGGACAACTGCAGGGCACAGGTTGTGAGCTGCCTGCTAGCACAAGCGCTCTGCCAGCCTCATGAATTGTTACAACAAAACTGACATGGCACAAAGCCAGCAGGCTAACACCTTGTGCTTCCTCCTGAAAAAGCTACTGCAACCATTATTTACCCGAATCAGGAGAGCATCCCTAAGCAGGGTCACAATCTGTGTGCAAATGCACACCATTTCAACCCCTCTCGAGCTGTTTATAGGCAACACTTAACCTTTAGGAACCCAGCAAACTGCATTTGGTCAAGAGCTTTGGGAAACAGTTGTAGGTCCTTAGGTCTTGAAGTTACAGCTTTAGAACAGATAACAAAGACTGAAGTCCAATTAATTTCAACTCATGTCAGAGGTGGGGGAGATGGCAATTGCTTCTTAGAAGTGTCAAACTGTTACTTCGACATACTGGCCAAACACTGTAATTGCCTGCACCTCCAGTCACGTTGTTTTGGGTCACCAGAGGAAAGAGTGGTCACCAGAGTAAAGAGTGGTTTATACTGACACTGTAGCATGGATCCAATCCAATGGCAACAAAAATTTTCACCTTCTTTTCTACCCACAGAAACATCCTGCGCTTCCATCTATGTTGTTTCAGCTCACCCACAACAAGCAGCAGCCAGCAGATCAGCCACCAGAGAGCCACTACAAGTGCTGCTGAGATGGAAATTGGACACTTTTATGCTAAGGATATTTATTTGGACAAGTGCATGGCAAGAAACTAAGAGCTAAGTGGAGTTGTACAGTTGGGAACTACACACAACATGACCCAGTTTAGTTATGTTACAGGAGTCTTCCTGAAATACTTAAATGCAAACAGGATGGGGAAATATGAAAAGTTGCGACTGCATTTTCAAAATTTCACATTTCCTTCTGTTCTCTAGAGAATCCCAGAGGCTCCCCAAGATAAACGATCTGCATACATATTCAAATCTACCAGCCAATACCAGATTTTTTAGGTTTATGTCAGAGTACGAGCTGCTCGCAACTCCTTGGAGACCAAGCTCACTGCTTTCACAATGACACCTCACTGTCCCAGAACATCAGTGGCACTCACATGCCTTCTTCCTTCAGTGGTGAACTTCTGCTCCTTTCCTTGACAACTGCAGATAAACCTCATGAAGTGGCCTTTCCACACACACTGCATATAATAGTTCCACAGCCATTACTTTTCTCTTACAACCCCACTGCTTACCTGTGAGAGGAGGAGAAGGTGGCACAGGACTTCATATCCAGCGAAGGGTCTGATAAGTCCAACTCAAATATTTCTAGAGAAGCACTTGTACTGAAGGTTGCATCCAGCTGCTGAGCTGATGTACCTGCAAAGAAGCGTGCTTGGCAGCGAGAAAGCCATGATACACAAAAGAGCAACTGCAAAAGCAGCACAAGGAGGGGCATCAAAACATCACCCTTGCAAAAAGGACCGAGATGGGGTCAGGTTTCTGTCATTTAAATGTAGTTCTATGTAACTCTCCTCCCCATGGTTCCCCCTTTGGGGTCTCTTAACCAACATAAACAGGAAAAGCTTTGGGCAAGTGCCTCTCTCTCCCTGACGATGCACAGAAAACGATCAAAGTTACAAATGAGCAGCAAGGGACAGTGAACTAGCAGTTAGGATTGCTATCGCCTTACCCTGGCAGAAAGAAGAGGATGCTTGCTGTCACTTGCAGAACGCAAAGCATGTTTTCATGCACAGCACAACTGGAGAACTCTATTAAAAGCACCATACCACATACTCTGCTTCAGCCTTCAGGACACGAAATAACTCCTACAACTTTCAATTACGACCACTTCATGGCAGCCACCACACGTAGTCCGAGACCCGCTAGCACATGCTTCCCGAAAACTCACCTGTGGCCAGATAAATGGGGTGCTGCTGGGCAGGGCTCCATGCCTGCATGGCAGTACGATCAATTTCTTTCAGCTTCATTTCACTAAAAAATAAAATCAAGAAAGGTAATGCTTAAATGGAGCATGAGGAGACTGCACTGCCACGGATTCAGCAGCTGCATTAGGACTTGGCAGAAGCAACTAGGGTGATCGTTTTCTTAAAGATATCCCAGATAGACTGACACCAAACCCATCCTCTCCAGAGCACAACTGGGGGAAGGGGAGGAATAATTCTCCACTGACAGAATAACATTGGCACGTAGAGGAAATTGACAGTTGCTGAACAGACTGTAACACAGGAAAACGTGGGCAAAGCTTCAACTGCTCTGAAAAACCCTTTTTCTAGCAGCATCAAGGCACACACCGGGGCACTCTACAGCAGCTTTAAGCCTTAACCCTCGAAACAAACCCACTCCCGAGAAAATCCTCACTAGACCCCCGCGGCGAAACACCCTCGAAAGCCAGACAGATCAGAGGACGAAAGGCTGTTTAAAAGCCTCCACCGCCTCATTTTATGGCCTTATTTCAA